TCCGGCAGTCGTTGCAGGTCAATAAAGTTCTGTGAGGGTGCGATTAGGGCATCCAGCAGGCGGGTCTTCTCCTCGTTCCATGTTTTGTTCATACTGGCCCACTTCTGCTTGCTCACCGAGTCGCTGATCTGCGAATACAGGAAAAGTTAACAATGGTTTGATTTTCTGGTTTCTTACCCACATTCTTGTTCGTGTCCTCGATCACCGAGAGGATGGCATTCTCGCGTTCGTTCTTCAGGAATGTGCGCACATCCGTGTCCGCCTTTACGTCCAGCGGCTCGAAGGTTTTCCGGGCACTCAGAGCCTCCAGCTTCTGGTTTAGCTTGGGCAGGTCCACGCCCTTGGAGCCCAGCAATATGTGACTGGCAAAGGTAATAATTTCATTTAGACTAGAGTTCACTTTAATTCAGGTTTGTTTACTCACGCCTGAATCTCTTTGCCGCCGGTTTGGGTGACGCGGGAGTGGAGCTCCGTGGTGGCCTGCAAGACCTGCTGAAGCGTCCGCTCCACGGCCGGCAGCTCGCACTCCGCCTTTGCCTCATTGGTCAGGTTCTGGGCGCGCTGCAACAGAGTGTTTAGGTCCATTTTTCCAAATAAATAAATTCACTCCTAAAGCAGTCGCACACACAGTGTGACCAAATGTTGGCGCCATAAGTGCATTAGAGATGACAGTATCGATTTTGGTACAGGGATCTCCAAAAAGTGAACCTCGCGTATGTAAACAATTCCTAGTGCTGAATAATAGAAAAGTTAGGAATTTAAATAATTTTATTTTATACAGAGTAGAACACATTTCAAATGTTTCTCCTTATAAGTCTATTATAAAGATATGTTTTATTTCTTATATTTGTATTAAGTTATTTTTCAGTTCTACCTTCACTAATTTATGTTCTCGATAGTTTTGCCGTTAGTGCGACCTGTTGGCACCCCTTACCATCTCTAATAACGTGACAAACACGCTCGTTTTGTTTTTAAAGTTGGATGCACTTGTTTGCCCACATAATATGGCTCTTTTAACTGAGAAGCGTGTCAAAAAGACACCAGCTCCTGCGAGTGACAGTTCTCCGGAGGAATCCGACACCGAGGGCAGCCAGAACTCCGGCAGCGAGGCGGAGGGCAACGCCGGCTGGGCGGACTCCATTCTGAAAGTCCTGAAGACCACTAAACCGGAGACCGAAAATAAAACCGTGCTAGCTCGTGCCAAACACAGCCAGGCGGCTGTGCGGCTCGAGAAAGCCGCAGCCAAGAATAGGCCAGGATTCGATTTTGAGATCGAGAAAGCTGAAGGCGAGGAGGGCGAAGACGACGATGACAACGATGAGAAGCCGCAAGCATCTGCCTTGGATGCCACGCTGACCAAACAGCAGCGCAAAAACGTGCCCCTCCAGCTGCGTGTGAAGCCCAGTTTCCGAGACATGGAACGCGAACGAACACTCCGCAAAGTGGCCACCCGAGGAGTGGTGCAGTTCTTCAATGCCGTACGCATTCAGCAGAAGGATCTGCAGCAGCAGCTGGAGGAAGCGGGTCCGCTGGACAGCCGACAGGATGCAGTGCTGAACAACATCAACAAGCGAAAGTTCCTGGACGTCCTCATGAGCGGCAAGCGCGCCAAGTCCACACCCGTAGATAACGCAGTAAAGAAAGAGGAACAAGAAACGGATGACGACGACGACGACGATGACGAGGGATCCAGCGGCAAAAAGAAATCCGAATGGAGTGTGCTGCGCGAGGACTTCATGACCAACAAGAAAATCAAGCACTGGGACGAGGAAGACGACGAGGAGGGCCACAATGACGAAGCTGATGACAGCGACGACGATGATGGGGAGGAATAGCGTTAATTACCAAATAAATGTTAGCTTTTCAATGAACTAGTTCTTATATAATAGTCTAATTAATTGTTTCCGCCTTGGAGGTCATGTAAATTGCAACAATCAGGCCAAACAATCCGATAGCCGAGCCAAAAATCTCCACAATGAGAATCTTAACGAAGAGCGCCGAGTTGGCCGCATCCGCCAGGGCAGCGCCAGAACCCACGATGCCGACAGCAACGCCGCAGGCCACGTTCACCATTCCGACGCAGAGACCAGCCCCAAAAGTAGCGAATCCCGTGAACATATTGGTCGCCATGACAGTCCTGTCTGTGATCAGTCGCAAGTTGCTGAATTTGTTGACGTTGCCGGAAAGCAGGATGGCCGTGATGAGGCCATAGATGGCCACCGCTTCGCAGAAGATAACCGAGATCAGGTTCTTGGTCTTGATGCGAGGCGATCGCACTCCGCCTCCCGCCACGCTGCATCCAATCATGTAGATTCCACTGGCGGAGCCCAAAACGGACAGGGCGCAGGCGAGGAAGATGCCCATGCCGGACCACAGGAAGGGGTTCGAGGTGTACAGGAACCAGCCGAAACCAATGCGCTCACCCATATCGGTCATCACGTTGGCAAGGATCACGCCAATCATGGCCAAGGAGGCGGCACCCAATACGAAGAGCACAAAAAATAGTCCAAAATTCATTTCAACTAAATTGCTTTGAGTTTACTTCTGAAGAAACTATTGTAAGTTTGTACTTTTAAAAGAAATCTTTCGAACTGACGGAAAAACCAGATCTAGTCGAACAAAAATTAAATAACCATATTATATGTGGAAATTGATGCCAATAAGAACAGAAGGAATTAAATACATTTGTGTATTTAGTTAATGATGAAATGATTACATAGCAACTTATGTAAGTCGGCATCAATTCATGCAAATAAAGAAATAATCGCAGCTTAACGATTCGATTTGGCCACGCGCTCCAACTCGTCCTTCTTCTTGATAGCATAGGAGTTGGAGGATCCCTTGGCCGCGTTGATCAGCTCATCGGCCAGGCATTCGGCCACGGTCTTGATGTTCCGGAAAGCAGCCTCACGTGCTCCAGTGCAAATCAGCCAAATAGCCTGCAAGAGAGCATTCAATTACTTTTATTGTATATGGCACGAACTTATTTATATTTTGGCTTGTTAGTTAATATGGATACTAATTAAAACAATCGCAATCGTTTATATTGTTCTTGATTTATCACCAACAAATTTGAAATGTTAGAAAAAATATAAGTAATATGCTTTAGTATCTGGACTTGAATGGCTACATATACACTTTTCGTGACACTTTTTAGATCTCTAAATATGGCTCTTTTTAACTTTACACGACTTTGCTTGCTTTTTCCAAGGGTTTTTGAAACTAGGTGAATATACTTTTCTAGTAACTTGGAGCTACATTTACCTGGTTGACGCGCCTCAAGGGCGACACGTCGACGGCCTGGCGGCGCACAGTGCCGGCGCGTCCAATGCGCGTGGAGTCCTCTCGGGGACCGGAGTTGACGATGGCGTTGACCGTGACCTGGAGCGGATTCTCCGAGGTCAGCAGGTGGATGATCTCGAAGGCGTGCTTGACGATGCGGCAGGCGAGGAGCTTCTTGCCGTTGCTGCGCCCCTTCATCATCAGACCGCTGGTGAGGCGCTCCACGATGGGGCACTGCGCCTTGCGGAATCTCTTGGCCGCATAGCGGCCGGCGGAGTGCGGCAGGTAGCGGGCGAACTTCTCCTTCACGGCGATGTAGTCCTGCAGCGAGATGTCGCTAATGGAGATGTCGTCGCAGGCCCAGCGACCAAAGAGCTTGATTTCCGGCCACTCGGTGGCCTGCTGGGCGGGCATTGTGGTGGCGGCATCCTCAGCCCAGGCCTCCTCGTCCTGCGGCGGCACCTGGCTCTCCTCCTGGCTGTTGGACTCCACCACTTCCTCGGACATTTTGGGGCAGTTAAATCGAGGTAAAGCTCAAAAAGCGTGCGACTTTGCGAAGCGTTTTGTGCGGAAAGAAAGAGGATGCAAAAGGAACGGTAAAAGAAGCTGTCACTTTTAAAATGGCCGCGAAATGCAACACTGCGCCAAGGGGCTGCCAGCTTTGGGAACTTTTTGGCGGGCGTTCAAATTTAAGGTAAGCCTTTTATTTTTATTGGATTATGGCTGTGGCATTGGTTTACAATAAGGATTTGTCCGAACAGATGTTACGGGTAGCGAATGGTCTAATTTTATATCTTCTTTAATCAAATTTCCACATACTTTCACTATTTCTCATGTACAAGTGATATATTATTATTGTACATATTGCATAGATATATTTTTAAAATCCCAATTCTCCGCTTAAGAGCACAGTTTTTATCTTCAACGCAGCTAAATTAGTTCTGTAAGGCTGCCTCTGCCAAACTCGATGCAATCACGAAAGAAGTATTTTTGCTTGGCTAACCAAATGCAGCAAAAGTTGGGGTTCATTTTACTGCTGACTCAACAGAAGCTCACCATTGTTGATATTTTCCCAACATACACTGATACACTGAACGATTTGACGTATTGTTTCAAACAAGTTTAATTCGAATTAGTATATCCCTCCTTTAAAAATAGTATTCCTTGTCTTGCATCAAACGCGCTAAAACTCAATACCATGTGATAAAACAAATAGATGCCATATATATGTATATGGATGGTGTGTAACGCACTCATAACGATTTAGCGCGTGCTTCTGATAAGCCATCGCCGTAGTCATGCTTTCACACATATTGATAAACAAAACGTATATATTTTATTTGTTTTAATATGGAATACTTTCTATAATAATAATAATGCGACTGTGCATCCTTCTACAACTTCTGCCTCAAACAGTAGCTTGAAATATACAAGTTTATCGTTTTGCGGTAGTTAATATAATACATTCTGAATTAGCCTTTAAAGAGCCAGCGTAGAAACAAACATAACAAACTACTTAAAATCAAACACGGACACACACACACGATGTCTTTCGTTTGGAAAAGAAATGAAATAAACAAATCGCCGCCGTTTTCACACCATGCACACTCCACAGTCGATTGAGTGATGCTGGTGACTGCAAGTGTGCGAGGCGTGAAAACCAACTGCCAACTTAACCAACTAACATCTTAATAAGTAACTAAGTCCTAGTTTAAAGCGTTTCGGCTGATCGGATTTCGGTTTGTCGGGAGTCTCCTGCAAGCAGTAACTGCGTAAAGCGAGTCGTAATTTCCAAAAAATAGGCAAACACTGGTGTTGTGCGTGTCTGCATCGGGATGGGGGAATGCTTTGATGACTGATTGTTGTTCTTCGTGATGATAATGGAGTGGCGAAGGCTGTGGGAGAAGAGTGAAAGTTTATTTCGTGGCTGAGTCGAGTTGAGTATGGCTGAGGCCGAAACTATAGCAATCGCACTCGCAAAACATTGAAAGGCAGCAATTAAGACAGCTGTTGCTTAGGTTCAATTAAGTTAAGTTAATCTTCGAAAAGGACTTATAACTCATTTATGCTTACGAGTTTATCCTCATTCTTGCAGTTATTAGTGAGCTAATCAAATGCAAGAACAAGTGCTTTCCATATTCTCTTAGACGCGAGAATCGCAATGCAACCTTTAAGCGATAAGGATTCAGTTGCTCCGCCGCGAGTGCTATTATCTTGACCTTCGCTGTTTCTACAATGATTCACACTCACACTGGATGGCTGGCGACGGCGCCTAATCCTTGTCGCCCATCTTGGACTTGGAGGTCATGTAGATGCCCACGATGAGGCCGAACAGACCGATGGCCGAGCCGAAGATTTCCACAATAAGGATCTTGACGAACAGGGCGGCATTGGCGGCGTCCGAGAGGGCGGCACCCGAACCCACAATGCCCACAGCGATACCGCAGAACAGATTGACCAGGCCGACGGCCAGGCCAGCGCCGAAGATGAGGTAGCCGGAGAACCAGTTGGTGTTCTGGATGGCCACCTTCGACAGGGCCGTCTCCATCGAGAACTGCTCCAGCTGGCCGGACAGCACGATGGCGGTGATCAGACCGTAGATGGCCACCGCCTCGCAGAAGATGACCGAGATCAAATTCTTGGTCTTGATGCGGGGCGCCTTCACGCCGCCGCCCACGATGCTCGTGCCCGTCGTATGGATGCCCAGGGCGGCGCCCACCACCGACAGCGAGACGGAGAGCCCGATGCCCAGGCAGGCCCACATGTACGGGTTCGAGGAGGCCAGGAACCAGCCCACGCTCACCCGCTCGCCCTTGCCCGTCATCACAAAGTACAGGGTCAGGATGGTGGCCACGGCGAGGAAGAGCCACAGGAACGTTTGGGACACCACGGTGCGTATTTGGGCCGCCATCTTGCTAATTGTTCACTGTCTGCGGATCGGGGAGCGTTAGCACGTCCGGATTTCCAAATTTTCCAGCTGACACTCACCGAATTGCAGGCGTAATTGTATTTTCTTGGCCGACAGGTGACTGCTCCGTGCGAAAAAAGAATCCACAATCACATGACGTACATTTTCTCTATCATTCGCTATCGAATAATCACGCCACTCGATAAGTGCGATAACACAACCGTGCGTAGCTATGGCCCGCTGGCTTTTTTTTAGCCGCAACTTACTCTCCTAGTTTGCGTTGGGAAATTGGCTGAAGAGCTTACTATCTAGCACTGTCAGAGGGAAATAAATAAATATCTGATGCAACCATTTCGCTATAGAAGCAATAAAATGTATTCGTTTCATATTTCTTTATAGCTATTCATTTTGACAGCGACTACTGGTACTTCTTAGCAGAGACACTCCCCCTGGCAGTGAACTAAAAGCACGGGCTCACACCGATTGCCTAAATAGGTATCGATAAGATATACGCAATCGACCTGATTTAGCATCTTAGTCCACTTTTGAATTTGAATGTTGGCGGTTATTTTTCATATTTATTTACTATTAACTACTTTTTAACTACTTAGTTACTACATTCTTAATTTAATTTAAAATTAAATTAAATAAAATGTATGTAATGAATACGTCAATATTCTAAATAAGATATGAAATTTCATTTAAAATTAAATTAAATAAAATGTATGTAATGAATACGTCAATATTCTAAATAAGATATGAGTTTAATTTATGAATTTTCCTAAGGTTGTCAGACGTCTTAAACAAAAAACTTGTAGCCTTACGATTTAACATGCTTTTTATGGAAACAATAACTTAAAAGTGTATATACAGATAAAAAATGTATAACTTTTTATGGCATTTTTATATTTTTATTGACAACGGCAACTAAAAATGTCTGCCTCCTTTCAAATGCAATTTTCTTGTAACTTACTTGGCTCAAAAGATTTATCCACCTACAGTAGTAAATGTTTGGGTCTGAGATAGGTAGTATTTTTTATTTACACTCATTAAATGTTGCCATATAAATGGCAAATCTCTCGTTTATTTTCATTTGCCTCTGTTTTTTGTATGCATATCAGCAGTCGGAGTCCTCTTTGCAGTTCAGTGGCCACCGTTCGAGGAATTGCGCCTACGCGCGGAAAACTGTCCTGTAGCCAGCGACTTTTTCAGCTCATTGACTTGGCCGGGAAAGGCCCAGGTCAGGTCAAGATTTCGCAGAGGATGGGAGCACGTTTAACAGCAACCACGTGACGGTAGCGTAATCTTAAGCCACATCATCATTAAATATTTACACTACATTATAATTTCTGTTCTTTTCGTACGCCGCGCGTGTCAGACTCTCATACACAATTACACTTGAAAAATATTCAGAAACAAGCAAAGACATTCAAAATAATAAATTAGGATTCCTTATATTTATATATATTTATTTATATTTATTATAAATTTAACTTTTGTCACTTGTTATTGCCTGAAGCACAAGGTGTTGTTCTTTGAAGTTAACCCCTACGTTTTCGAGTGTAAAACAAGTGATATAAAGGGATCCGGAGAATGAAATGTCTTACAAGAAGCGAAAGAAGAAAAAGTCGGAAAGGCGACACACCGCAACATTCAATTAAACGTAATGTGTTGTTTGTTGTCCCTCGCAGGACAGGTTTGTCCCATGCCCCTTTGGCCCCACCCTTTTGCAGAGCCCCCTTCCCCTCACTCACCACGGTAATAAATGTAAACTTTTCACTTGAAAAATTCACGACGCGCATAAAGAATGAATAAAATGAGATGTCTACGGATAAGCCGAAATGGTTGTGGGTCTGGGTCAAGTCAAATATCACAAGAGAAATCCATTAACCTGCGTCTTTCTTCCCTTGACTGATTTTAGTTGCGGCTTATCTTTGGGGTTTTTGTTTAGGGAAGTGGAAAAGTAACGAGAGCTGTTATAAATATTAGTTCAAATTATAGAAGAAACCCATTATAGATACATTTCATAGATACATGATTTGTTTAAACTTAGTAATCCACTAGTAGAAGCGCAAAATGCGCAAGTAATTTGCCAAGTTTAAGGCTGCCACACTTGTGTTCCACTTGACTGCGGAAAAAACCCCAACAATGAAGCATATGCAAGGGCACAACTTTTGTTCACCTGCCACCAGTGGCAACAGAAACAACATCGACTGCAGTATGAACTGTGGCAGGGGAGCTTAGTTTTCTATGGACCGGAAGTTGGCCGGGCATATAAAAGGCCTTCCGCTGTTTTCCGGTGCAATGTTGCATTTCAAGCGTGCCCCAGACATGAGCACCCAACAATATGCAACATCCACTGTTGCAGAAGCGTCTGAAGTAGTCCTCGGCACAATGAACCTCTAAGGGCTGCTAAGTTCCGACCGCTGGACTGAGACATATGGAGGGCTAATTTCGAGAGGCGTTCAGCAAAATGTTTGGTCACGAAAGCGACTTCAGACAAAAGATTTATGCATGTACAAATTAAAAGTGGATATCTGATATTCCCTGAAATAATACGCGAATAATCAAATACATTTTCCACATCCTGGGAGTGAGCTAGCTCACCAGGATCCAGGGAAAAGGACCAACTTCAGGATGATTCGTTCTGTGTGGGCGTGGTTCTGTGCGAGAATCCAGCACAAGAGGCTGTTGAGAATTGATTTCCTGCTTAGGCATTTAGGCCGATTTGCTGACCATTGGGCAAAGTTCAAAGGGAGGACAGGTGGAAAGTGGGTGGGAAATGGTGCAGCAGATCAAACGGCCAAGGGACTCGGAGCTTCAGTGGCTGTTTTGGGATAAGGCGGGTCTACCGTAGGTCAAGTTAGCCCCTTCTCCGTTGTCCGGCCGTAATCTTATTTATTTGTTTGGATTTTCCGGGAAGCCGAAGCCGAATGTAATCGGTTTCAACCGCTGTGTTTTATTTTTGTTTCGACTGGTCTTTAACTGCTGGTATGAGCAAACTCAATTGCTTTTATTTTATTTTCCCTAAGTGGCCGTCTGGCATTAATTTAATGTATTGAAATGTAATGTAATGGTCAGTCGGTAACTTATGCAAATGAATTGGCCATTCAATGAAATTTGCCAGTCCGATTGATTTTTCCACTCCTTATATTTATTTGTTGCTGTTTTTACACGTGGCAAGTGCGGTTCGCTAATGAAATGCAGTTCATTGTATATATCGAGTTATAGCCATTTATCGATGGACTGGCTGAAAGAGCACTTCATAAAGTGTTTTTAAGCATATGTTGGAAATGAGAGTATGTTTTCCCTTTACACTTGAGTGTAAATTTAATCGTAAATGAATATATTTTTGCTTGTGCTAAACGCAGTATCCTGGCAATTTAACTACCTTATTGCTAATCAAAAAGTCCGTAATTTTTGAACAGCCCACAGGAGCGGGCAATTTGCAATAAAACACTGTCAAAAATATTATGTATACTTCTGTGGGCCCATCTGCGCTTTGCTCTTCATTTATTTCATTAACTACAAAGGAGATGAATACAGGTTCAGCTAACTCTGCTGAACAAAAAACAGCCACAGGCACTTGGCCAAAAAGTGACAAATTGTTTCAATTCAACAAAAGGCAAAGGAGTCACGGCAGCGAAATGAGTAAGATGGCAAAGGCACAAAAAACAATAAAGCCTGCACAATAATGGCCTAGACCAAAGATAAAAGGGGCGAAGAAGGGGGAGTTCGGATGGAACCGAGCTTTGTAACCCTTTTTTACGCTCGTCCTTCGCAGTTGGTGCACTGAAAAATGTTTGAGCACAGAACACAAAGGGAGAATTGTGGAAATATAAACTTTAAGCTGAAGTAACTAGATGAGTCCTAAAAGCATACCTTTCATATTTCATAAGCCTGGTTTATATAAAACTCAATTCGAACTTCTTTCAAGTTGTAGTAGCGTTTTTGCAATACATGTAGTAGTATATTTAATACTGTCCAAATTTTCAGACTTTTCATTCTCACTGCAGCGCTTTTTTCGTAGAATCCTTGTCTGTTGTTTTGCAGTTCGGGCTTCTTTGTGTCATTAGCCTCCGTGTCCGTGTCCGTGTCCGTGTCCGTGTCCCTGTCCGTGTCCTTTTTATCTGTTGTACATGACATTTTGGCCTTTCTCATAAGTCTCGGACTGGCGAGCGGAGAGCCTGACAAAAGGTGGAGTCTCCCAAGAATGATGACGGCAATTTGCGGCTGATCCTGTCCACTCCTTTTTATTCCCCAGCATACATAATTATCTCAATTTTATCTAAAAACAGGAAATGAAATTCTGCTGAATTTGTCGTATTTCATATGGTATTGCATCGCCATCCTCTTTTGCCAATGCAGTTTTAAGCACACATAGAGAAATAAATATATACACACAAATTTGTAATTATTTTGGGAAGCTTTAGATTAAATACTTAAGCTCTATTTCCGATATCAGCATTCTTCCCAATGTTCTAGCAATCCTCCCAAAGATTCAGACTGCCATGTCCGCATGCAAATTTCGAGCGAGTGATAAAAATTGACTCCCTGCCCTGGAATGGAAATGCAGTTTGGCAAGGCAAATATTTCAACGTAAGTAAACTACATTAGCAACTGGGGAAATGGAAGGGGTTTGCAGGGGGTGTTGGTCCAAAAACGAGTGGCGGAATGGGGCTGAGCTAGTTGGCCCTTGGTGTGTTTGCCCGTGCGTCAGGTGCAGTTCACCCAGGTTCAGTTCGGCTTCATCCTTGGCTCCCCAAGTGCCGCACCCGCCCCATTACCGTGCCCAGTTCTCTACATTACCCATCCGCCCTGTGAGCCGGAGCCCTGCTTCCCGTATTTGTATCCGTGCGGTTGACAGCTCAGCGGTGCTCGCTTCACAGGCTTCGGAGAGGAAGAAGGCTGGCCAAAAATATAACATCGTTTTGCTACAGGGCCAAGTTGAAAATGATAGAAACGTTAATCAGATGTTTGTGCATAAGCGATACATGCGCCAACTGGAAATTGCAGTAGTAAGTGAAGTCAAACAGTGCTTACTTTGAATATTTCAGCTGGGTGGCTGAACTTTCTATACTCGTAGAATGTATCTGAAAGGTTTAAGTGTGCTTGCAGCTCTTTGTGGTGCATTGTCCGGTTTCATGGTAAGTCATAAAAGTCTGCTTGTCATTTTCCAAGTGGCTTAATGAATGCCAGC